CGTGAAGAAGGGATTGCTGCAGTTGCTACAGTCAAACGAGGTCCTGACGCCAGCGCAGCTCGGTTTCATGCAAGGTCGTTTATGCATTACGAACCTGCTTGTGACGAGGCATGAGTGGTTGACGGCAATAAGCAAGGGGAAGTCTGTCGACGTGATATTCATCGATTTCAGGAAAGCGTTCGACAAGGTCAGCCATGAGGTTCTCCTTCAGAATATGTGGTGTCGGTGGCTCACTGCACCGGTGGATCCGCGACTTTCTTGTTGGACGAAAGTGGAGGGTACAGGTCGAAAACCATCTAACTGACTGGTACCCCTCTACAAGTGGCGTCCTCAAGGCACTGTGCTGGGGCCCGCTCTGTTCCTGATCCACATCAACGATCTACCGCAGCTTCTCTGGTCGCCGTGTGCCTTGTTTGCGGACGACATGAAGATTTGGAGAGAAATTGACGCTACCGATGACTGTGGCCTACTTCAGCAAGACCTCAAGCGCCTATCCACATGGTCTGCAGAAGTTCTTCCCCCTTTCAACCCAGCCAAGTCTGTATTTATGAGCCTGGGGAAGGGTGCTGACGGTCGAATCTACATCCTTGACGACCAACCGCTATATGCCACACCCTCCGTGATGGACCTAGGTGTACTCTCATGCTACGATTTGAAGTCCGTGGACAACACGTATAGGCTATATCCTAACGGACTGCTCATGCTATGGGCGCCCAAACGTAGCTTCGGCACATGGTCTGAAGAGTTTGCCACTCGCCTCTTCTCTTCCATCATTAAACCAGTGCTAGAGTACGGTTCGCCCGCCTACTTTCCGATTACCAGAGGCGAGGCACAGAAGATCGAACGAGTTCAACACGTTGCTACCAGGCTGATCCCGAGTTTACGTGGCTTTGGATATGAAGACCGGTGCGAGAAACTAGGACTCTAGACCTTGTCCTACCGTCGGATGCGAGTCGACCTCATTATGACCTACCATATTCTACATCTCGGTGACATCCCCATGCTGAGGCCAATGCTGCACTTACGAGGGCCATGCAGCACACGCGGACACAGATACAAACCTGTTCCGGATGTGAAATGTGTTCCCTACCCACTGTGCTTCGAACGGAGATTGGTAAACATTTAAAACAGTTTACCTGAACATGTGGTTGAAGCAACATCTGTGCAGCAGTTCAAAACGTTAGTTTTATATTTTACCCCAATTTGATTCAGAGAACGATTGCACACTTACGATGACATATCACATTTGTGAGTCATGAAATATCGTTAGTCAGATATTTTAAATTTTACCTGAGAACTACAACGATATTCACGGTTGACAACTTTTATGACGTTTTTCACCGTATTTCGAAAGAGTTGTGCAGAATTCATTTCTACTTGCTGTATAATACAGTATTCAGTATTCAATACTCAGGAAGCCGTACGTCTCATTCAGAATAACCTATCTGCCCTTAACTCCTGGTGCCAACTGTGGCAGATGTCATTTGCTGTGGACAAGTCTAATCTTTTGCCGTACAAATGCCAAGTACCGCCAGACAGTTTATTACTACAAGGCGCATATATCTCGCAATGCAAGGCAGTGCGTGACTTGGGCGTGCGATATTCCGTCACGTTTAACTTTTCTGAACACTGTGACTTCCAAGTTTCGAAGGCCATGGAGAACATCGCTTATATCTGCCATCATTTTTACCTCATGGAATCTCGCACATCGCTTTACAAAACATATGTATTGCCGTATATGGAATACTGTTCATTGGTACAGTCTAATCTGCGGAACTCTGACCAGCATGCTCTTGAAAGGGTCCAGAGACGCTTCACGAAAAAGCTGTGTGGATATTCCTCAAAGTTGACGTAGAGGGAGCGATGTGATAAACCTGGATTTGACCTATTTTGGCTTCGGATAATGAAGCGGAACCTATGTTTTCCTTACAGAATCATAAATTGTCAAATTCGCTGTCTTGAAAACGGTATTCACATATCCTTAAACAGCAGGTATCCAATACGTAACAAAGAGGTAAAGGTCATGATTCCAAAATTTACTACGAGAATCAGAGAACGTTTCTTTCTAACCCAATACTCAAAGATTTGGAACAAACTTCCAAGTTTTATCAGAATATGCTATACACTTTGCAATTTTAAGCTTGCGATTAGTAAGCATTTAACCGTCCAAAACGTGATTTAGATATTCGGGACATCACAGTCCCTAGATAACGCATTCGACAACGGTATCCATGGTGCCTGAATAAATTTCCAAAACACATACACAACATTTCGGACAACAGCCCCTTTCATTACATTTTTTTTCTCGGCCCAAATATCTGTCATGTGATTGTGAAGAATCATGATTCAATGGCAGGAAAAAATAGCAGAACGATTCTGATTACTCTGTGTGACCTAATTTGCAACTGCGCCCATGTTTATCTCTGAAAATGTGTTAATGAAATGTCATGGAAAAGTTTTACCATCATTTGATCTGTTTCTTCTAGGGAACAGTTTCTCTCATCGTCGAGCAAAATACAACTTATTTATTGAATTGTAACTTCAAATCAAACACAAAGTGCGGTTAAATGTCCTGCAGATAGAACCCAATGTACGTCCCGAAACTGCCAACACCGGCACTGAAAGAAATTATGTGCACTCTGTTGCATTTGTGAAATAAATGGTTTGAGGCGTGTTAACCACATACGGCCTTAAGGTGTTAATGTTGCGCTGGTTGCATTAGACCTCGGTTCAAATCAAGATATGGGCTCTGTAACGGGTTAACCTAACAAAGCGCAATTCCTTCATACGCCGCATTATATATATATATATATATATATATATATATATATATATATATTGGGTTGGCGGCATCCGGTTCCGGATTTGCCTGTCACTGTGGCCAGTCACAGGACGCCTGCGCCTACAGAGGGCCTATGGATGGCTTTCGCTGCACCACCCACAGCTCCATCCACACATCCCATATCCAGTGTAAACCCGAAGGAATAAGACCGGGAGGCATGTGGATGGAAGCCACGTTTCATCAACGGAGCCGGTCCACACTCCTTCACAGGCAAACACAAGCACACTGTATTTGGGGAAGCAAGTGCACACAAGGCGGTGGCTGGACCGTAGTCTGCTGCACATTGAGTGCATAGAACCACTCTTGGAGCCTAGCACGACCACAAGGACCGTGTACCCCGTCCCCTACAGCAACGATTAACTGTCTCCTGGAGCCAGATGGGCGAGGTAGTGGGTAATAGACAGATAGGCACCTTGTCAACATGGACATCAAGCGCAGCCACACCTGGGCTGTCAAACAACAGCCAATCATTTGAAATGCCGATATCGAATAAAGTAAACGCACATGACGACATAAATACTCGCTAAATGAGCATATGGAGGAAATCGGTTAGAGGGGGATACGCGAAAAGTACAAAATGTCCGAAAGTTATTTAAAAGGTACCACGCGATGAAATTACGCAAGTTTACCACAATTTGCATGAGCGACGTGTGCAAGTTGGGAGGAGATTATCAAGCACGCAGAACAAACCAAATAAAATGGAATGAATTTTATCCACATTAAAAGACCTAGTTTAAGTGTAAGTTGGTTTAGCCCAACTGCGGTGCAGAAGCATCAAGAATGCAACATCAGCCTCAGCATGGGGCACACATACATACATGGTTGGTGGCATCCGGTTTCGGATTTGCCTGTCACTGTGGCCAGCCACAGGACGCCTGCGCCTCCAGAGGGACCATGCGTGGCTTGCGCTGCACCACCCACAGCTCCATCCACACACGCCATATCCAGTGTAAACCTGAAGGAATAAGACCGGGTGGCATGTGGATTGGAGCCACGTTTCATCAACGGAGCCGGCCGACGCTCCTTCACAGGCAAACACAAGCACGCTGTATTTGGGGAATCAAGCGCACACAAGGCGGTGGCTGGACCGTAGTCCGCTCCACACTAAGTGCATGCATTTATACAAGCTAAACGGTACATACGGCCCGAAGAGATCGATTCATGAGGCATTGCTGCGACCACACACACACACACACACACACTACACGTTAACTAGAGGTGGGAAACACCTCAACTGCTGTGCCGCAATACACAAAAGAAAATAGCAAATAAATACAACAGTTGTATGCCAGCTGTGCTACCAGCAACGGATGGGCATCGTTCCGGAAAGCTACCTGCCGGCTACTATGCAGCAAAAATATAACTTACTATGCAAAATTATAAAATGCTAAATAATGAGATCATGGTTGGAGGGGGAGGCTAAGAGAGATTTGGAGAGACAAAGAAACTCACAGCACGAACGCCACTGAGGTCGTCTTTTGGATCTTAATCAAGGAGCCGTGAAGCTCCAACCGAGGCCATCTCCGAAGTGAAGGCCTTCATTCCTCTCGACCAAGTCATCAGTTGGCTGCTCCTCCTCTTCTTTCATCCACACTTCCGGTGGGAAAACAACGCATGTCGCGGGAGTCGGTGGATTGGCATGCGCAACACGTGGCCGAGCCATCGGAGCCTGGTGCGTGACGGTTTTCCTATGCCATTAACAAGGCTTCGAACACGCTCGTTGCTCACGCGGTGTTCCCATCAGATGTGAGCTAAATTGCGAAGGCATCGGTGGTCGAACGTAACCACCCTCTTTATGATTGCTGCGACCGTGATTCTATGAAGCAGAAGGTGGATCTCACGACTTAGTTAGCAACATGCGGGCAGCGGGAGGTTAACTTTTTTAGTAAACGCATTTTTGCCCATAGGCCGATGAAGATAAAATGATGTAACTTTGAACATTAAGGTACATGCGGATGACATAACGCTTGTTTGAAAATGTTTCTAAGACACAGGAAGCGTGTTATTAGTGGGGGAGGTGAAATAGCAAGGGGAGTATACGATTTGTACACTGAATCAAAATTGATGCTGCCTTAACAGGCTTTATGTGACTGTTTTCAATCATCTCCTTTTTTCTTTTTCTGGGCGTAGCCCTTGTTTCATTCTCTCTTATCTGCAGGTAAAAACTCAATTTGGGATTGAACGCGAAGTCCCGAGTATATCGCAAATCGACTTACAGCGTTCAGCAGATTCGTGCGGCGAGCGTTCTCGAAGCCATTCCTCGATAGAATCAGTAGTGACTGCGCCTTTAACTGCAACGAATCAGTCTGACGGGCATTCTGAAACTTTATACTCCTCTGATTCTGAGAAGGATAGTGATGTAGACCACCTACTGCCTCTGTTATCCGGTCGATCAGCCTCATGTGTCAATCTTACATATTTCGAGAAGCCCGCTGAGAAAAATAACCGCACTGTGTCGGTATCCGAGGACGTAGAGGAAGAGAAGGGCGAATGGATCAAATCAGTGGAGTCTCCCAAGATGAATATGGTCCAGGGAAGCAATCAACCCAATGAAATTGCAAGTGATGAACTTTCCCGACTAGCTATTTCTGCAACCGCCCCTTCGGTCGGGAGAGGTACACAGAATGTAGTTGCAGATGAACTGCGACTAATTGGTCGAGCTGGAACACTGATTCACCGCAAGTTCTCTGCCACTCTCCACTGCACACGCTGCCGTTTGCCATTTGACTGGGTTTTCAGTCTACATGGAAATGATTTGATAAACTCCGACTCTTCTGTCTCTTTAAGCACACGTCTGCGTTCTTTACCACCTCATCATGCGACTTGTGTTCGCTGTGGCCAAACCATGGGTCTCGTCTTCCAAGCTACGATGGCGCATGCGTTCGAATCGTGTTTGGGGACTCTGCATTTGCAAGGTTGTGTAGCGGACGATGTTCACACGAAAATGTCGGAGTTCTTGGTACTGTGTACCGAGTGCTCCCGATACATCAAAGTGCCGGTGAGTGTTGCTTTTGCTTTTTTCCCCTGCACACAAACCTTACGTTGACTCATCATCTTGTCTGCAACCATAAGCTGCTAGACCTGTTCGTTGCTTTTTCACATTTATAGTTTGCACTTTTTGCTAACCAATACCCTTCTTAATATTCTCTTATTAAACCTATTTTTTGCATGGAACGCCTGAAGATGACCACTTCGAAGCCATTCTGTCGTGACTGCTAATACATCTTCAGCGGCCGTTGCAACTACGTTCCAACCTTCGATCAGATTACGCCCATTCAGTACGCTTGGCTATACACAGGTGTGAATGTTCCGTTACATTTGCCTTTTCCTACAGCATCGCTACAGTTGAAGATCACTCTCATTTGTACCGAAATTGCGCGCATTGATCTGAGCAGTAAACAAATATTTTGGAGGTCTTTTCTGACGACGTATTAACGCCCATCAGGTCAGTAGGCCAGGAGTTTGTCACGTAAGATAAGTTCACCATAGGTATGTCGGCCCACGATACCGACGCTTCGCTATCAGTCGGTCATCCAAGTCGCATGCTTGGGCTAGGTACACTGAGCTCGCCTGCATCTACGCGGATTGGGACCGCGGTGACCTTCGGACAACGCAGGCAGGACGCGTTCTCACCCATTCGAATACTAGCCGGCGAGCCTGTCAAGTGGATTTGTCGTTTGTTTACACCTGAGCCTAATGAAGTTTAAAGGGGTAATATTATTCGCTGGAAATAGCACTGAGTCGCTACACCAATAAAAGTGGGTTTGGCTCTCTATGTTCTTTTAGTTGGCCTCCTTTTATGTTTCAAGGATCCTGGGCTGCATAGGTCACAACTTATTCTAATGCCAAGTGTGTCTCGATTTTAACATTCACTTAGTGAAGACGATTAATAGGAGCATTGCGACCACTATGTTAAGCTCTGCACTTCAGTTATGTGCAAGACGTACGAGCCTTAGTCGGATAGATGTCACTTCTCTAATCACCTAATTGTGCCCCATGTAAACCAACATTTGGGTAGATGAATTTCCATTCTGATGAATGCGCATTCGGTGTTCTTGCTCGATCGTCTAGCATGGTCACGATGTTCGTCTCCTGCTCCTTTGTGATCCCGTTCATAAATTAACTTCTCAGTCTTATTGCAAAAGATTTTCTGTTATCTGGCTTCACCTTCCGTGATCGTGAAACATCCATGTGGAACGCCAACAGGGGGTTAACTAGCCATTTGATCGAAACTTAAGTGCCACAAACAGCTACCAGCTTTCTGTCTCCCGACAGTTGCATGCTTATAGGTACATAGTTCCCACTGACCGGACTGGTGAACTAGTTGCCAACTCTCAACTTCCTACATTTTAAGCCATTGCTTTCGTGTTACTCTATTGCAAGCCTAAAGTAATAAATCAATTGGTTATGTATTTCCCGACAAAACGAAACTCAAGTCAGCGTACATAGACCGATCAAAAGACAAATCGCTGCGTCAATATTTCGGACCAAGTCCTTAGTTGTCAGGCGATGAGTATAGACGGAGTAAAATGCTAGAGAGAAGAAAACAGTGTCTAAGTAATTATGTTCTGCAAAGGGCTTTACCACTTTAAAAAGTGAATGGTAAACAGGAACTAGTACTTGACTGACACAAATAAAACAACTCCTCCGATGTAAATGGGAGAAATAAGCTTAAAGCATTACTCATTAACCAGTATTTGCACCAGCGAATGTCAAAACAGAATCTTAATGGTGAATGCTATGAGGATCTAAATAAATGAACACAGGGGTCTTGGTGTCAAACCTTCCATTGTGTCAGTGTTTGCACTAGCCAATGTTAGGTATTGCAGACACGTACTGAAATTTAGTCTGAATAGCTCAGTTAGCTAATCCGTTTGTTGATCCAATCGCAGAACGTAAGCGGATATTCACAGCATTTTACGGGTACTGAAAGCCAATCCAAGCTGCTTGCGTATTTGCTGAGAAAGAACTTCTCGCGCATTTTAGTGCACTACTTAAATACTGTTAAGGGAATTTATGTCATATTTCCTAAAGAGCAATGTGTTGTACTTGAAAAGAATGACTGGGTTCATGAATGCGTTGATCTATCACATCGAAAAAAGCGACGAGTTAATTTTAAACCTTTGAGCCAAACCATCTCAACTTCAGTATTTTGCAACGTTCTGGCTAGGTGAGCAAATAGAACCCAGAATCGATCTGGCATATGTGCGTTGGACGCACTCCAACGCCAGTGTATCACGTTACCGTGCGTTACGCTAAATCATATAACGACATTCTAGCATTGGGCGTGTACCTTTCTTGAACCGTATAAGCGTGGCATCTGTTTAATGGAGGAGTCCGAGAGACATCAACTTTTTTCTTAGCTTTACATGTTCCACGAAGACTGAAATAATCTAGTCCGAGTTCACGAATTTAGGTGCCACAAGTGAACCGCATCAATTCAGTCCAATTCGAAAAAAGCTTTTTGCACCCTGGAGGGTGGATATTCAGCTGTAATATGGAGTGCATTGCTCTTTACAACTGGGAAGCTCAGTATATATAATTTGCGGCATCCGACTCCGGATTTACCTGTTCCTGTGGCCTCACTACTACAGCCACAGGATGTCTACGCCTACTGAAAGGCCTTGGGTGGCTTGCGCTGCACGACTCACAGCTCCACCCACAAGCCCCACGTCCATTGTAAACCCGAAGGAATTAAGTTTGCTAGGCATGTGGATGGGATCCACGTTTCATCAACGTAGCCGGCCCACACTCCTTCAACATGTATAACAGTAACATTCCAGTCAGTCTAATTGTGGAATAATGCGTACCGGACATATACAAAATAGTGTTGGACGTAGCCCGCTCTAGACTGGATAGTACCATTCTTTGATCCTAGTACGGTCATGAGGACCGTGCACCCAGCCTCCCAAAGCAACGATCAACTGCCTCTTAGAGCCATTATAATCGACGTGTCGATTCTTCGATAGGTAGGCACCTTGCCAGCATTCACATCAAGCGCAGCCCCCCCCCCCGGAGATATCAATCAACAACCAACACCTGAAATGCAAGGAAATCAACGTGCGGGCACGCATACTGAACAGTTGCAGTAACCATGTGGCGCACGTGCCGGATCGATGGTATTATTGGCCTGAGTTAGGAAATGAGATCGGAAGCAGCGTATTTACCAAGCGCTGTGCTTATGATCATTACCCATTTATCGTTGTCATCGCCTCTCCTATATATATATATATATATATATATATATATATATATTGGGTTGACGGCATCCGGTTTCGGATTTGCCTGTCACTGTGGTCAGCCACAGGACGCCTGCGTCTACTGAGGGCCTATGGATGGCTTTCGCTGCATCACCCACAGCTCCAACCACACACCCCATAGCCAGTGTAAACCCGAGGAAATAAGACCGGGGGGCATGTAAATTGGAGATATGTTTCATCAACGGATCCGGCCTACACATGCACGCTGTAGTTGGGAATCAATCGCACACAAGGCTGGACTGTAGTCCGCTCCCCACTGAGTGCATGGAACCACTCTTCGAGCCTCACACGACCACAAGGACCATGCACCCCATCCCCTCCTGCAAAGACCAACTGTCTTCTAAAGCCAATATGGACGAGGTAGTGGGTAATAGACATGTAGGCACCTTGTCAACATGCACATCAACCGTAGCCCCACCGGTGATATCAAGCAACAGCCAATCGTTTGGAACGACGATATGCAATAAAATAAATCGAGTAATGCCTGGAGATACGTCGGCGTAACTCTTCACTAAATGGGCGCTTAAAATAAATTGCTTACGAACGAATCCGCAATAAGTTCAAGAGGTCAGAGGATATATTTAAGGAAAATGCCAGGAACGCAAAAATGTTATCGAAATTAACTACATTTGGCTTAAGCGACGTGTGCAAGTTTATAGATAGCACTGCTAGACATTAATATGGGCAAGATAAGCAATAGGACAAAAGTGAAGGTCCACCACCTGAAATAAAGAGACTTAACATGCAAGCATGCGGTTAGTAAGTCGAATGCAGCGGACCTACAAATGCTGCGCCGGTTCTGCTTACGTTCTCTGCAGAACCCGTCGATGCTTCGGTGGTGGTCCCGAATGGCCTCGCTCATGGCTCACTAGGCCTGCCTGACTCACGCACTCGCGACCGCATGTGCTTCAGCACCATGCGCTCGATGTCGATGGAGTACAACCTATCGGTGCTTGCCGCTTCCGCTTTTGCCGCTTCTTCTCTGCATGTATGAGGTCTTTCTCCCACACTTCGGCAACTGCCTTCGTAATCAGATCGCGCCATGCACGCCGATCCACCGCCTTCGATTCCCATGACCTACAACCGACATTGGAACGTGAGAGGCTCACTTTAATCATGTCCTGGTAACGTAACTTTGGTTTCCCCACAGGCCGCTTCCCAGTACTCAGTTGACCATATAATAGTTGTTTCGATATCCTCGTCGAATCCATACGGCTCACATGACCGAGCCACCTCAGGTGTCTCGGCAAAAGTATGCAGTCCACTGCATACATTCCACTTCGGTGCAACGCTTCCGTGTCAGCAACTCTGTCGATCCAACCGATGCGCAGAATCCGTCGCAAACACTGCTGATGGAACCGCTGGAGATATCGCACCTCCCGCCGGTATATCGTCCACGTTTCACTACCGTATTGAAGAACGGACAGCACCATGGATTTGTGCACCATCAGCTTCGTGCCAATGGTAAGCTGATGGTTGTCCCACACTCGGTACTCAAGCTTCACGAATGTCACCGCTGCCTTCGAGACGCGGATATGCAGCTCACTGTGTAGCTGCTGGTCAGTCGACATCACACTCCCAAGGTAGCAAAAGCGGGAGGTGGTTTCCAATACTTCAGCACCAATGCTGATTCGCGGCAATATTGAAGACTGCACCTCCGGTGAAGGCTGAAATAGAGCGACAGTTTTGCTTTTTGTTGATGGTGAGCCCGAATTCGGCCGCTGTCGGAGCCAGAGCA